GAGTAGATTTGTGTGTGTGTGTGTGTGTGTGTGTGTGTGTGTGTGTGTGTGTGTGTGTGTGTGTGTGTGTGTGTGTGTGTGTTCAGTTCAAGCCAGAAAGGGCTTTGTGTTCATCAATATGAAACATACCAGAGTGAAGTTGCACCCGCTGCTCTCGGGGCATACTCACACTTGGACTTCCCTGCACGTATCTGACTGCTTTTACAGCCATGGTGGGATGAATCTGACCCGAAAATACGTCCAGAGAAAAGTTGAACAGGTGCTAGTGTTGACACTGTTGAGTATCGCCTCATTCCTGCCTTGGCGCCGACAATAGTTTGCTGGGTCTTCGTTCAAATCCTGTTGATGGCCACGTTTATTGCTGATGGCATTGACGGGTGATCTTATTGCTGATGCACCTTTTCCTGTATGACCAATGTTGGTGCAGGCACTGTAGAGAGAGGAGCTTCTCAAGGGGAGCAGGGGGGCACTGGACATAGCCATCGGGAGTGCTCCCCTATGTCGGAAAAAGGTGGAGAGGCATCGGTGGCGCAAGTGGTTAGTCATGAGAGCAGACTGCTGACGACGGGAAGAAATGGTTTGAACTGCGATGTTAATGTCACGGGAAGTAATGACGATGCCTCTGTTGCTGGCCGAGCTGTTGGCACGACCAAGCAGAATGCCGTTCCTGGATGCGGCGATGGTGGCGGCGGCGGCTCTCCGTGTGTATTCCCTCCCCCTCCCGACGAGCGCTCCTATAAACCCCAGCGAAGAGAGGGTACCGATCGTCGGATCAATGACTGCATCGCAGGCACAGATGCGGACACACAGGTGTCTTTTTGGATGAGAGATATGGAGAGAGCAGGGGGTTTAGGTGCGCGAGACGACCTTGGAAGTGCTTTTCCGGTGGCGATGGATGCCACGGATCGCGAAGCTGCTCTGAGAGATTATGACGATGCGGACTATGAATATGCTGGGTCGGTTCTCGGCCCGGAAAACGGCGTGAGAAAACCGGAATCCCTCAGGAGTGGAATTGGTTCTGCCGAGCACGACGAGGCTCACGCTGCTCGCTTCAGCAGTCACAGCCGTCTTTCGGAGGTATTCCACGCCGCAACGGATCCCGAATGCTCCTCCCTACTAGTATCATCCACTACGCACCACGCTGAACCACACCTTCCGCCCGACTGTCGAAGTGGCATGATCGGCGACCGGCGAGGGCTTGGCTATGGCGGTGATGGAGCAGAAGCTGTTGTTCCTGATGGTAAAGAGTAGCCAGGAGGTCTGAATTGCAAATTGCACGGATTTTCATCCGCCAGGCGTAACACCGAACCTTGCTTTGCACCAGGCAAGGACGGGTGGTAGGCGAGAGCTTGGTTATCGGCGAGATGAGGCGGCAGGTTTCATTCGCGATAGGAGTGGTGTTTCGTGATTTAATCAGGAGGTTCGAACCTTGGCCATCGGTGAGATGAAGCAGCGGGTTTCATTCCTGACAGCGATGTTTAATGATTTAACCAGGGAGGTTCGAGCCTTGGTTATGGGAGGGATGAAGCAGCAGGTTGGTTGCGTTCTCGGTAGTGATGTGTAATGATTTAACCAGAGAGGTTTGAACCTTTTTGCCAGGAGGCAACAGCGTTAATCAGCAGCAAAGTCAACGTTACGCAGAAGGGTTAACGGTGAACCAGAGTGCAGAAGGGACACCATTAAACAAGACCGCGGATATTACGCGGGGGTGGAGGGGGGGGGCAAGCGAAAGTGTGTGATTTGGCTTTTAGCCGGCCAAGTGCGTGAATGTCGAATGGGTCGACCAGGAGAGGTTAGCGGGGACCTGGAGGATTGAGTGTGAACTTGCAATTAGGGCAAGGGGGACAAAAAAGGCCACCATAGGAGTGCTTTAGGATGGCACAAGAGGAGGTTCAGCTCACAGGTGAATATCGGGAGTTGCGAAGCTGCGGAGTTGCAGAGCTGCTGGAAAGTAAGGGTGCTGAGTCTTTTTGTAAGTCATGGAAGTGGTTGGTTTGAGGTTGGAATTTCAAGGAGAAAAACGTGCTCTGTCAGTGGATGGCACAAAGCCTGCTGTCAGTATGATGTGCTTGTCGCTCCAGCATTCCATAGCGCATTGCAGCTATGGGAGTGTGGCTTTGTTTCTTTGCACCTCTCAGAGGCAGAGACCGATTTCAACTTTCTCATTGTTCTAAGTGCTGTCCTGCTTGCTCTCATTTCAACGAATGCGTGCTCATCTGAATGGGCGGGCGACCACCTGATCTGCCCATGGTGCCCTCTGTGTGTGTGCTGTCTCTTATACACATCTAGATGTGTATAAGAGACAGGGGTTGTACTATATGGATTGGAAGGTATTATGTG